CCCAGCTTGGTGCAGAAACGCTGGTGGTCACAAGGCGGCAACGCCTTGGTGAAGATATCAGCAGTGTTGGCCTCAGAGACCACACGTACCACGCGGGCCTGGCCACGCTGCTGCAACTTGCGCAGAAGGAAGTAACGAAGCTGGATGTGCTTCGCCTTCCCAACCAGTCGGGGCTCCTCGCACAACAGGACAGCAGACCTGTTGTCGGCGAACAAGACTGGGGGAGAGCTGTTAAGAAATAATAATGACTACAAATGAAACATACACAAAGATATATGGCAGACCTAGCTGTATCACGTAATCATACACCACCTAGACTAACAAATGCAAACGATAAGAAATATAGCTTGACACACCCCCATAGTCTAGGTGACAGTAGTTCTGTGGAAGAAACAAGAGCAAGCAAAGGTCACAAGACCTGTCCACAAGAACAAGACGAATCTCGCGGTGGATCTCAAGATCACCACGCAGTCCGAGAACAAGCAAGAGGCCACAAGGCCAGTCTGCATGGAAGCATATAGCATGTATAATAGATGCAAAGTATAAGGCAAGCAAGACAAGCATCTCTACGTAAGCAAGTGAGGACTGGTAGGCACAAGACCAAGCTGGGTGCAGAAACGCTGGTGGTCACAAGGCGGAAACACCTTGGTGAAGAGATCTGCCGTGTTGGCCTCAGAGACCACACGGACGACGCGAGCCTGGCCACGCTGCTGCAGCTCACGCAGAAGGAAGTAACGAAGCCAGATGTGCTTCACCTTCCCAACCAGTCGGGGCTCCTCGCACAACAGGACAGTAGACCTGTTGTCGGCGAACAAGACTGGGGGAGAGCGAGGCCGCTCACCAAGGACGGTGAGGAGGAAAGACAGCTTGCGAAGCTCCTGAGCGGCCATGGCCGCAGCGTACACCTCTGCTTCACAGCTGGAACTGGAGACTGACGACGCCCGAGTCAACCTGCACGAGACGGCTCCGGTCCCAAGGCTGAAGGAGTACCCCTGTATGGACCGACGCATCTCCGCGTCGTCAACCCACAACGAGTCCGAGTAACCTGTGAGTGTAACTGGCTGCTTCCCTCCAAGTACAAGTCCCATGCCTGATGTAATCGCCACATACTTCGCCACCCTCTTAGCAGCCAACCAGTGGGACGGTCGGTGTCTCCCAGGCGCAACAAAGCGCGCCAGAACGCTAAGAGGGTAAGCTAGGTGTGGGCGAGTACATGTCACCAGGTACATGAGACAACCCACCAACTCAGGATATGGACCTCTGGACTCAAATGGCTCGTCCAAAGGTGGAGCCGTGAGCCCATGATCCACAACAAGAGGGGTGGGCTGTACCTTGGAGAACGGGAAGCAAAACCGCGTGAGGATCTGCTCAACCATATGTGTCTGCGTCAGCGTAATGGTGCGAGCTGCCTTGTCCCTAGTGATCTGCAGGCCAAGGTAGCGCTGCAGCTCACCAAGGTCAGTGCAAGTGTGTCTCCTCTGCAGTTCCTCCTTCACGGAGGCCAGCGCACGTCGGTCGGGAGTGGCGAAGATCAAGTCATCAACGTATACCAAGACAAAGAACGGGGTCGAGCCGCGATGAACGAAGAGCGACGGGTCGGCAGTCGACGGAAAGAAGTCAAATGCTGCAAGAGTCGTCCATAGTGTGTCGTGCCACTCGCGGGGAGCCTGGCGCAGGCCGTAGACCTGTCGGAGCAGCTGCCACTGGGTCAGAGGGGGGAAAGAGCCGGTGAAGCCTAGAGGTCGACGTAGCCAGATCTGCTGGTGCAGGCTCCCCTGAAGGAACGCTGTGGAGAAGTCCAGAGAGTGCAACTCGTAGTCGCGCTGAGCAGCGATATGTAGCAACACCCGAAGAGTGGTCATCTTCGGGGTGGGGGTGAAGGTCTTAAAGAAGTCTACCCCCTCTCGCTGACTGAAGCCTCTCGCCATATAACGTGCCTTGAACACCGGTGGTGATCCAGGCGGCCGCTTCACCTTGTAGAGCCATCGGCCACTGACGACGTTCGTCCTAGGTGGTGGGACTGCGTCGACTTAGGTTCCTGTGGACCTATAAGATGTCATCTCTGCCTCCTCAGCTGCTATCCAGAACGAGGCCCAAGGTCTCGAGACCGCCTCAGCGTGATTGCGAGGGATCGGGATGTCAAGGGCGTCTGGATCCCCCTCAGGGGCAAGCAGCATGGCGCAGAGATGAGGAACAGCGGCCGCAAGGTATCCAAGCTCGAACTGCCTATCCTCCAGGACCTCCAGGGGAAAGACAGGAGCACCCCCAGAGGACGGAGAACGAGCAGGGCCACTCACCAGGTGAGCGGTGTAGTCAAGGCGGTGGGAAGAGGCAAAGCCAGCGATATTGGTAACAAGTGCTGAGACAGACGACAGGGGTGCAGTCGGATGAGTGACCAACGCGGGCAAAACATGGGAGACGTCAGGACGGGAGGCACGGAGGTAGTCGGACAACGGGTCGTGAAGCACAGTGAGGGACGACTCAGGAGGCTGTGGAAGGACCGGAGGAGGTGGAACACGAGAGCGGAGAACAAGGTGAAACGGGCCGTCTGCATAGTAACGAGACCGACGGGGCTCTGGAGACACAGCACGACTGAGGAGAGAACGACGAGTCCTCTGGGACGAGGAAAGGGACTGGACGGGGGGAGCAGGAGGGGACGGTAGGGGACCACGAACCAAGCGTGCAGGTGCTGGGTCGGGCAGGTCGCGCAGTCGTAGGCGCTGCTGCTCCACCTCCTATGGCGTCTGCTGCGACGGTACCTGCCCCTGCTGCTGCTCCTGTAGCTCATCCTCTGCCCTCTCCTGCTGCAATTGCAGCTGCACCCGCTGATGCGACCGGGACTCCTGCGCTACCCTCTCCTACTGCGGCCGTGACTCCTCCTCTACTCTCTCGTGCTGTGTCTGTAACTGCACCTGCTGCTGCGGGCGGGACTCCTGCTCTACCCTCTCCTGGTGCGGCCGTGACTCCTCCTCTACTCTCTTCTGCTGCGATTGCAACTGCACCCGCTGCTGCACTCGTGACTCCTCCTCTACTCTCTCCTGCTGCGGCTGGAACTGCACCTGCTGCTGCAGTCGTGACCCCTCTTCTGCTGTCTCCTTCTGCTGCTGTGACTCCTCCTCTACTCACTCCTGCTGCGGCTGGAACTGCACCTGCTGCTGCAGTCGTGACCCCTCCTCTGCTGTCTCCTTCTGCTGCTGTGACTCCTCCTCTACTCACTCCTGCTGCGGCTGGAACTGCACCTGCTGCTGCAGTCGTGACCCCTCCTCTGCTGTCTCCTTCTGCTGCTGTGACTCCTCCTCTACTCGCCGCTGCCGCCGCCGCCGCCGCCGCCGCCGCCGCCGCCGCCGCCGCCGCCGCTGCTGCCGCTGCTGCCGCTGCTGCTGCTGCTGCTGCTGCTGCTGCTGCTGCTGCCGTGGCTGGTGCTGCCGCTGTAGCTGCTGCTGGGGCTCCACACTCCCCGAGCCAGGACCCCCTCCTCCACTACCACCAGAACCGCCACCTCCTCCACTCCCTGTTTTTCACCAATTGCGTGGCCAATTGCCTTGATCTTATGCTAAAAGACATCGGCAACATAGGGGCGGTTCCGCGAGTGCTCCAACAAATACACCGGGTTGTTATGATGGTGAAGGGGAGCGCGTCGGCCGTCACCCTCTTCCGCGAGCTCTTTAGCAAGTTCTCCCTAGTACGAACGAGAGCAACCCGTTTTGGAACCCAAGTGATCATGCTAACCCGGTTCCTAGAAGTTAAGAGGCCGCTAAGGGAAATGGTGATAAGCGACGACGCGTTTTGGGATTCCACGGCGGTGGTGCTAAGGCTCATGATGCCCGTGTACGAAGTCCTTCGGACCGTGGACACGCGCGCGCAAGTCATGGGCCAGATTTATGGCCTCATGCTCGATGCAACGGTGAAGACGAACGAGGCGGCTGAATCTGCCGGTAAGTAAGAATCTTTGTTTCCAATCTCTCGCCTTGTCCAATGTTTGATGCCATGACATCTCACCTCATAATCGCCTCGTTGTCAACACCATGATGATGTGTGAAGGGTTTGTTTTGAAAAGAATCCATGGTTTCTTTCTTTCATTCCTTCCATGAGCAGCCACCCACCTTGTCAAGCGCACGGGCTTGCTTGCCGCTAGAAACGAGCCCGCTTTCCTTGCGGCGATCAAGGCCATCATTGCCAAAAGGTGGGATGGGCAGCTCCACATCGTTGCTCAACCCTCGGAATCAATAAGTGGGGGAGGTTCTAAACGACGCCGAGGTGAAGGGTGCGGATGAGGTGATTCAAGCAAGGGGTGTTGTACACATGAGCAAATGGCGTGCCACGAACTTCAACGAACACGAAAGGTTGGCGAACCGAACCCGTTCGGTTTGCCACGAACCAATTTCCTGAAATAGGCATTCGAGTGTTCGTGGTCACAGGCGAACACTTCAGGTTTGCCACGAACCTCTTAGACGTTTAAGGCGAACTCGAACCTGTTCCGGTTTGGGTGCCATCCTACACCGCCGAAACGAGGGTGACACGCTTAAACTTCCTAATGTCTTAAAGTATGCGCAATTTAAGGATAGCGTGGTGGCTGTTCGCCGAAATCGAACCGTGTAACTTAAAAACGCTTTTGAAATGTCGACCAAAAAGCGCATTATCTAAACCTTAATCACGTCATTTCCTTAGTAACGAACCACCCTAAACCGAAATGCTCTAATTTATATGTTTCTAGGGCGGCTGTGTGTAGGGAAGGAATAACAATGTCGGATATACTCATCTGAGCTCGCTTTGAGCTCAAATGACGAGTTTGTTCACTACATACCCGTAGGGTTTGCGGCAAACCTGTTTTAACTGACGAACATCATGAACGCGTTTGTGACGAACTGGGGGCGTTTGTCACTAACGTTTTTCGGCAAAAAAAACTCCCCGTTCGGTTCGTCACGAACGCGTTTGTGACGAACCGAACAGGGGTTCGCGATTTTGCTCAAGCCTAGGGTGTTGATGTCCAACACCGTACCATGATCATGGCACAGCTGGCCTCGTTCCACAAGGGGAAAGGGCGGTTGGGATCCGTGGATGCGCGTTGGGCAGCAACCACCCTTGTGGAGGGGGGTCGTTTGACGGACGCTGAGTGGTGGAACATGTTCGGGGGAGAGCACCGTAACCTCAAGGAGCTGGATGTGATGGTGCCCTCGCAGCCCGTCACGTCCTCCGAGGAGGAACAGTATTGGTCCGCCCTTGCACGGGTGCAGCGGCGGGACCGGAACCGCCTTAATGCCTCCAGCATGACGGATGTCACCTTCGTAGCTTTCAGCCGGAGGGCGAGAGACTCTTATGACCGTAAGGCCGAGGTGAGAGCCAAGCTCTACTCCGACCTTAGCGACGGCACCTTGAAAGAAGGATGTGCCGTTCCTCCTCCACCGTAGAGGAGGTGGTGGGGGACAACGAGGAGGGGGGGGGGGGGGGGGTGCGAGCAGTTGTGTACCATCAATTGGGATGCTTTCGGGAACATTGGCGGGCGGAAGAAAAGGAAGGGGGGGTCCAAAGAAAGGCAGGGGGAAGGGGAAGGGGAAGGGGAAGGGGAAGAGGGCAAAGAAAGGCAAGGGGAAGGGGAAGGGGAAGGGGAAGGGGAAGGGGAAGGGGAAGGGGAAGGGGAAGAGGAAGGGGAAGGGGAAGGGTAACGGGAAGGGGAAGGGTAAGGCGAAGTAAAAGGCACTAGACGAAGAGGAGGAGGAGGTTGAGAGCGATGGGTCCGAACCTGAGGATGCTGCCGCCACCACAAGCAAGGGTAACGGCAACCCTTGGGACTGCAGTGATGGTGACAGTGGGGAGGAGGAGGAGGAGGAGGAGGAGGAGGAGGAGGAGGAGGAGGAGGAGTAGGAGGAGTGGAGGAGGTGTAGGACGAGTAAGACAAGTAAGGGGGGGCAGTTTTGTTAGTCTTGTAGTTGTTTTCAGGCCTGTGCTAGACGTTATAACATGTTCCCTGAACTCTTAGAGGTCGTAGAAAGGATTGTTGTAGTGGTTTTTTTTTGTTTTTTTGTTTTGTTTTGTTTTTTTTTAATAGAAAATCTCCAACAAAATAACAACGACCATAAAAACGGTCCGTATAATACGGTTACCGTTTTTTCAACCTTGTCGCGTTATTAACACTTAGCTGGCAACTAAGTGTGAATTCCACAGCAGCTAAGGTGAGGGTGTGTGTACTATAGTTTATCGCTTTTGTACTCTATTTTCATTTGTGTGCTTGGAGTGTATCGTACTGTACTGCAGAGCCGAGTAGCTGGGGAATTCGAGGTGGTTAGTGGGAGGCGAATTCAAGGTGGTTGGTGGAGGCGAATTCAATTCCAGCCTGTGAATTCAATTTCGAAGTCACCAGGCTGGAAGGCGAATTCAATGCCAGCCTGGGAATTCAATTCGAAGTCACCAGGCTGGAAGGCGGTGCATGCCTAGTGGGCCCAGTGGGAACCCAGCTAGCACCTTGGAGACCTCGCGAGCAGCTCGGCTGACTCGCTTGGTGCACAGGAGCTTGCTTGTGGAGGAAGCAACCTAGGCAGGAGGTGGGAATAGATGTAGGCAGGAGTAGCACTCGGGCTTCTTGCTTTTTGCTTGTATGTTTCTCTTTTACTGCAATTAAGCTTTCCTAATCCAGAGGGAACTAGCAGTTGGAGGAGCTATAAGCATTTTGACGGAGCCCCTGAGGGGGAGTGATATGCTTGCTAGAAAGGATTGTTGTAGTGGTTTTTTTTTTTTTTTTTTTTTTTAAGAAAATCTCCAACAAAATAACAACGACCGTAAAAAACGGTCCGTATAATACGGTTACCGTTTTTTCAACCTTGCTCACCCAACATCCCAACCTTAACCAAATGTGATCAACCGAGATCTAACCCACCAATTAGACAGTTGATCCCATTGGGAGATACCCACAATTCCATATCTATCCTTTCCAACACATTTTCGATGTACTTAAGGAGCCTTGATCTCCCTTTTTAAGGATGGTATCAGAGCTTCTATTCTAACTAGCACACGTGGATCTCGACCTTTCCTTCCCCAAAAAGCTATATTCGTGTTCTCTAGTGGGAGGCTCTCCCCAGAGTTTCTCAGCGACAGAGCTCTCATCACTTTCAGATGGGCTCGTGCAAGCCCATATTCACTCCACTCCCACTCAGCACCTACTTGCTTTTCCATCTACACCCTCACCCATCGCTTGCCCCGAGCCCTGACCTGAGGTGGCCGGGTACCCCATTTACGCCATGATGTGTACCCATGCACCCATCACCCGTGCACGTGCACCCACACACCCATCTTCCCATACACCCATGCACCGATGCGCCCATGTCCGCATGCGTACACCCATGCGTCCATGTCTCCCACAAACCCATGCATCCATGTCCCCGTGCATGCACCCATGCATGCACCCGTGCATCCATCCATGTTCCCATGCATGCACCCATGCATCCATGTACCATCCACGCTTCCATGTCCCCACGCACCCATGCACCCCTGCTGCCTCGTGAAGAGTGACTCACAGCTGAAACAGGCCAGAGAGGCGAGAGAGGGTGGTGGGGAGAGTGCCGGTCAAGTGGTTGTTGGAAAGATCCCTGCGAGCTCATGCCACACAGTGACAGCACACAGTGACAGCACACAGTGACAGCACACAGTGACAGCACACAGTGACAGCACACACAGTGACAGCACACACAGTGACAGCGCACACAGTGACAGCGCACACAGTGACAGCGCACACAGTGACAGCGCACACAGTGACAGCGCACACAGTAACAGCGTTTCTCCAGAGATAAGAAGGTACAAACTGCAGAACTTCATGGCATGGCGTGAAGGGCACATAGTGTTGGCATGGCATCTTGTGGAAGTACAAGAGAGGGAGGGGATGTAGTGAAAACAACACTGAGGGTCTGACTCCCACCATGATGGCTGGATGCAAAAGATTGGAGGTAGGCAATCCAGAGTGGAGGAATCATCTAGTGATCTCACAGTTTCCGAATGTCCTTCATGTTGCCAATGCCCTCAGGGATGGTCCCCTCAAGCTGGTTGTCAGACAGGTCCCTGCAACTTGCAACACACTCGTCAGCCTTGTCGGCCACATCATCAATCATTGGCTGTTCGTTCCTGCTACACGAGTGGAGGGGAGGGGAGGTGGCACCCTGCACAGCACATACTCTCGTGAAACAGGCGAGAGAGGGTGACCTGACAGGCTGTTTTTAAGAGTAGGCATGAGCAAGTAACCAGCCTGGGTTGACAGACTGCTGATGGCCTGCTGAGATACTGACAGACTGCTGAGCTTGGTGAGACTGCTGATGGACTGCTGATGGACTGCTGATGGACTGGCACAGCAAATACTCTCTTGGATGCATGAGCTGCAAGGGTAGGCGCCCCAAAGCAGCATCAGATGCAAGGGCAGCCCGTGAGGAGACACTGACAGGGAGCTGAGCTTGGTGAGGCTGCCAATGGACTCGGGGATGCTGCCTGACAGGTTGTTCTTCCACACGGAGCTGTTGTGTGCAGTCAGGGACAGGTAGGGGTGCACATGGGACGGATAGGGAGGGGGTGCACGTGGGGCGGATAGGGGTGCACATGGGGCAGATATGAGTGCGCGACTGAGAGCTGTGGCAAGAGGGTTAGGGTGCAGTGAGGGATAGGGCAGGCATGCGCACAGGTTGAACCTGGTTTGGCCCGCCTCGAACCTAGTGGGGCGGCCAGGGCCAGGCTGTGAGTGAAATTTTCCAACTCATGCTTGCCCGATCGTTAGATGCTCGCCACAACTCGGTGTTTTTTCACGAACCGAACCGAACAGGTACATGTTTGGGGCGAACTATTCCAAGCGAGAGAAAAGCCCTATTTGGTTTGCCACGAACATGTTTGAGTCGAATCAAACAGGAGCCCGGGTTTTTGCTCATGCCCTACTATGTCCGCCCGGGTTGGGCAGGATGGTTCACAAAGCTTGAAGGCTGATGGGTTACATAAAGAGAAGGTTGAACGGTTACAAAATTGTGAAAGTTCATGTGTTATAAAACTGGAATGTTACAAAACAAGAAGGCTGATAGGTTACAAAACTAGAAGGTTGATGGATTTTACAAGACTTGAAGGTGGATGGTGCTGCCGATGGAGTCTGGTATGCTGCCACTGATGCTGTTGTGCGCTGCCTCCCTGCAACCAGCCACACACACATGCACAATGAACAATGACCTAACTGGAATTAGCACGGGGCATGGTTGCACAATACGAATGAATACAAAATATGATGGGCACAGTTGCATCGCATCCAACATGAACACCAAGTGAATGTTGTGGAGTGCATCACTGGCCACGTACTTGCACTTTGTTTAAATAAGGGGGGATGGATGGAGGGATAAGGGGAATAGAGGGGAATTCTTCGGGGGATTCATCCAAATCAAGGAAAATTTGGATGGATCAGGTTGAATGGATTGGGGATCAAACAAGTTACAACCAACTCCATAAAGGAATGGTAGAAACCAAATTTGGAAGCTAACAACTGTGCAGCCTATCTTCAACAAGAGACACAACGGGGGGGCAGGGAGCAAGGCCGGGAGGGGAAAAGAACGCAGCTTTGTTTTCGTATGACCACGGGTGATTGAAAAGAGCACAAAGAGGCAGAGAGCATACAATTTCCTGAAAATGGTGCGACCAGAGATCCAGGAGGGAAAGGGGCCCGATAGACTCATATAGCTGAGGAACCTGTACGCACATGTGCCGCACCATAGGCACACACACACGCGCGTGTGCGTGTGCGCACATGCACACGATTGCACATGCATCTCACACACACCCACCCACCCACCCATGCACGCACACAACCACACATGTGCACATGCGCAAACATGCACACATACCAACAAAGATGCACAGACAACACATTCATTGAAGAAGCACCTTCACAGTTAAGAAGAACTGCACGGGCAGTGAATGGTGAGTCCACATGGAATGTGGTGAGAGGGGAAACAGAGGTTCACTCACAGAGAGGAAATCGATCGAGGCTCGCTCACAGCAATTGGAGCTTGTTGAGGTTCTTCATCTCAAGGGGAATGGATCCTGTCATTTTTATGTTAAAGCTGAGATCTCTGCGCACACATCATCACCGTGCCATGCCATGTCATGTGCACATACCATCACCATGCCATGCCATGTGGACATACCAGCGGGCGGCAGAACGATGAAATGCTGTGCAGATGCGGGAGGGCGGGCAGCAGAACGATCGCTAAAGTGATACCGAGATAGGAAAGCATTATTACGACTTAAAGGAGAAGGTTGTAGTGAGGTCGAACAAGGGGGGGATCGAGAACCGTATAGCCGGAAGTGGATGCCCTGACACCATAGTAGGATATGGTACATGGCCTTTAAGTACAACAAACTAGGAGGGTTGGGTTGGGTGGATGAGACGCAATCAGGATGAGATCCTCAAATTGTCCATCCAGATAATGGGGATTTTGGATAAAAAAGGCTGGAGAGGTTGGGGACAGATAGTCTACACCCAACCGAAACGAAACTCACGTAAGAGATAGTAACCTAAAAAGTGACAAATGAGGTGAAGCCTATTTCCAGCATTTTTTCGCTGAAGCACGCCTCAGAAGGCTTGCTTTGGGTCCAACCCAAAACAATACGCGCTGAAACTTGATCGGCATCGGGGTGGAGCTTGCTTGCCTCACCGCGTAGATCTGGGCGTGCGGCGGTGAGGCGTGCTTACAGGCGTGAGAGGGCAGCCAGGCGAGAGATGGCTGCAGGAATGGAGCTCGATAGCTGATTCCAGCGCAGCTCTCTGCCGTGACATGCATGCCATGCGTGCCATGCATACCATGCATGCCATGCGTGCCATGCGTGACACGGAGTCAAGCACACGGCAGGGA